CCAGAACAGAACCATACCGCCAAACCAAACTTTATGCTAAGTATCTATCATTTTGACGATAGTGGTTCTGACAGAAATAAAGTTATTGTCTATAAAAAAAAAAAGAGTCTGCTCGCAATCGCCTAAACGAATCGTCAGGAATTCGAATCTTATTCTGTTACGGCTCTACGTCACAAAGTAATACATTTGCATAATGTCTGCCTACGTTCTATGTCGCCAACTTGCCTGCCCACAAACAGTAAAATTTCAGTGTGGTTAACATCATGTTGAGAAGACGCAGAATCAGTCTCTTGTCGATCAGCCAGTTTAACCGTTTCATCATCAGACTCTGGCTCGAATTGGTAAGGTACAATCAATACCATCTTTTCTATGTTTTGACGAGTCTCCAGGGCTGTCATTCCATCATGGCAATGGGCGTTTGTTTCCGACACGCGCTGTACGTGGTAGACCAATCCAGAGCCAATCTCTCTATGGCTCTTATTGCATGCATGTAAACCTGTTTTAGGAGACTCCTAAAACAATATTAGCAACCTTAAAAATGGCATAATGGGGGCACTTTAAATTTTCACGACCCTGTTATGACCCTGGTCATGAACTGCCTTTTTTATTATTTTGTACTGTTCTCTGAGGTCCACTGCTATTATTGGCTAACAGTTGTGTATGTTTGCCGGCCTACATCATTCATAGATGGGTGCTGCTGTGATTTAGGGTAAAAACGCTTAAATGCTCAGTACATATCAAACGTTGACAAAACAATAGTGATCACGTAAAAAAAACAGTTACTCACACTTGTGTGTTGCAACATTACTGTTGGATCCAATAGAGTTGTCATACTTATATCCAACAACAAAACACCTCAATCGCTTAATCGGAGACATTCCTGTCTTCCCCTGCACCGGAGTAGACACAATAGCGGACTGATGACCGCTCACTCAGGACAGGTCTAAGGTAAGACGGCCTTGTCAATCAACTACCGTGGGAGCGGCCTGTGCAGAACTACGTCATTCTGACAGGAGTCTCAGAACGGCCTGATTTGAGAAAGGGGATTTTAAAATAGGGATTTAAAAAAAAAACATTGGGTGGATTTTTATCATTATAGGATGGATGTTTACACACACTTTTAACACACATTTATGTTCAAACAACAGCAAAAGTGAATTTTGCATCCGATGACCCCTTTAATATTTAGAGAACTTGGACTGAGCTGTAAATTAGGCCTTTAAGACAAACCATTGCTCTGTTCCTCTTTCATAAATAAAAAAAAAAACTGGCGTTCCTTCCTTTTTGGTTTATTTACACCCAGTGGTTCACCTCAAACTGTTGCTTTTTTTGGAACATCAGCAATCATTATATTCTAAATAAAGTGTTACAGGATATTAAAGGGATAGTTCACCCAAAAAAATATTAATTCTGTCATAATTTACATTCCCTCAAGTTTTTCCAAACCTCTATAAGTTTCTTTTATCTGCTGAACACAAAAGATGATATTTAAAAAAATGTTGGTAATCAAACAGTTACTGGTGGCATTGACTATAGTATTTTATGTACTATACTATAGTAACCATAGTATTTTTTTTCTATACTGTGGAAGTCAATGGCTACCTTCAGATGTTTGGTTACCAACATTCTTCAAAATATGATTCAGGCAGGTTTGGAACAACTTGAGGATGAGTAAATTTTCATTTTAAGGTGAACCATCCCTTTAAAGGGCTGTGCAGAGTCAGTACAGATGCAGGACAGCAGTGCATATTCATTAGACAGTCTGTTTACTCTTTGGAGCTGAGGAACACAGCCAGAAGGGACTCTAGTTTACTGCAGTCTCTAATCAAACACTAATAAACCATATAGTCCACAGTCCAATTCACCAGCTTGCAGGCCTGTGTTGAGGATCTCAGTGGTGCTAACTGTTCTGTGACGCAGAGAGGAAGGTCTGAGGCATGTCAAGGTTTTTGTTTTTGATACTTAATGTTGATATTTTGGTTGTGTATTTGTGTTTTTTGTAGGAAAAGCACAAGCTAATGAGCAACGCTACACCAAGTTAAAGGAGAAATACACAGAGCTGGTCCAGAGCCACGCTGACCTGCTGAGGAAGGTGAACCGACCCGAAACCCGAAAGTATTTCGGGACCCGTCGGGCTCGGGTCGGGTAGCAGACCTCTACTTGTCAATCAACTATCGTGGGAGGGGCCTGTGCAGAACTACATCATTCTGACATGAATCTCAGAACGGCCTGATTTGAGAAAGGGGATTTTAAAATAGGGATTTAAAAAAAAAACATTGGGTGGATTTTTATCATTATAGGATGGATGTTTACACACACTTTTAACACACATTTATGTTCAAACAACAGCAAAAGTGAATTTTGCATCCGATGACCCCTTTAATATTTAGAGAACTTGGACTGAGCTGTAAATTAGGCCTTTAAGACAAACCATTGCTCTGTTCCTCTTTCATAAATAAAAAAAAAAACTGGCGTTCCTTCCTTTTTGGTTTATTTACACCCAGTGGTTCACCTCAAACTGTTGCTTTTTTTGGAACATCAGCAATCATTATATTCTAAATAAAGTGTTACAGGATATTAAAGGGATAGTTCACCCAAAAAAATATTAATTCTGTCATAATTTACATTCCCTCAAGTTTTTCCAAACCTCTATAAGTTTCTTTTATCTGCTGAACACAAAAGATGATATTTAAAAAAATGTTGGTAATCAAACAGTTACTGGTGGCATTGACTATAGTATTTTATGTACTATACTATAGTAACCATAGTATTTTTTTTCTATACTGTGGAAGTCAATGGCTACCTTCAGATGTTTGGTTACCAACATTCTTCAAAATATGATTCAGGCAGGTTTGGAACAACTTGAGGATGAGTAAATTTTCATTTTAAGGTGAACCATCCCTTTAAAGGGCTGTGCAGAGTCAGTACAGATGCAGGACAGCAGTGCATATTCATTAGACAGTCTGTTTACTCTTTGGAGCTGAGGAACACAGCCAGAAGGGACTCTAGTTTACTGCAGTCTCTAATCAAACACTAATAAACCATATAGTCCACAGTCCAATTCACCAGCTTGCAGGCCTGTGTTGAGGATCTCAGTGGTGCTAACTGTTCTGTGACGCAGAGAGGAAGGTCTGAGGCATGTCAAGGTTTTTGTTTTTGATACTTAATGTTGATATTTTGGTTGTGTATTTGTGTTTTTTGTAGGAAAAGCACAAGCTAATGAGCAACGCTACACCAAGTTAAAGGAGAAATACACAGAGCTGGTCCAGAGCCACGCTGACCTGCTGAGGAAGGTGAATTGATGACTCCATTTAGTTCACACACTGCCTGTATATGAATAAATGCATATTTGTATTGGGCAAATTATCACATTAATGTATGCAATTAATGCATTAACACATGTTTAATTCTGTTTGATATATACGCTACTGGGTCATTCCGTGTCAACTAAACCAGCGGTCCTCAGCTAAAATTTTTGATTTTGCTAATATTTTTCTGAAGAAGGATAAACATGTATAGTGATGAAAGCCAAAATATTAAATGTTGTGGATGAATATTTACCGAGTAATCCACTTTTTTGTAGGGGGGGGTCAAAATGGCAATTTTCACCTGAGATTCAGAGGCAAATTACAGGAGGGTAAAAATGACAGCATCATAATGTTACTTTTACACAGAGATTGGTAGGTCTATTAGTCAAATCTGTTGCAATCTTTGTTGCATTATGTGCCAATGGTGACCATTCAAGAATGGCGAAAGAGCCATTTTTCTCTCCAAAGGTTGCATGCCTGTAACTCAAGAAGCATTAAAGATATCTTAATGCCCTTTTAGATATTAGGTCTTTTCCTTTTGGCATCTTCATTTTTAGGGCCCTATATCAGTGGTCTCAAACTCAATTCCTGGAGGGCCACAGCTCTGCAGTGTTTAGCTCCAACCAGCTCCAAATCACTGCTGCTTGGAAGTTCCTAGTAATCCTGAAGACCTTGATTAGCTGGATCAGGTGTGTTTGATTAGGGTTGGAGCTAAACTCTGCAGAGCTGTGGCCCTCCAGGATTTGAGTTTGAGAACACTGTCCTATATGGTTCGGTTCCATAGATATTAGAATTTAGAGTTAACAATTAATCCTGGTCATTCATAATCTGACGTGTCACACTGTACATTCTTAAACCCTGGGTTACTGTTATTAGTTGCATATTTGACTGTGTTAACAGTGATGACTAGATAAACACAAAACCACATTTGGTTTTTGACCATTGAAAATGGGTAGGATACAACAATTTGGCCATGGAGCTTCACTGGGATCTCAATAGCTCTAGGATTAAACCATACAGGGCCTTAAAAATTAAGATTCCAAAAGAAAAGTTTCTTAGGAACCAGAATCTAAAATCATATTAAGATAACTGTAATACTTCTTGAGTTACAGACACGTAAATTTTGGAAAAAATTATATTTATGACACCCAAACACGTATGTCCTACACAGTTGTTTTGATAGAGGAAAACAAGATACATTTCTAGTTTCAGCATCACTTATTCTTCAGACATTCCCCTTTAAATACAATAAGTATGAAAATGTATGAAAATCCCATATCTCTGGGACTGAATGATACATGGCCTTGAAAATGAAGATTCCAAAAGAAAAGTTTATTAAGAACTAGAATCTAAAATCATATTGTGATATCTTTTATACTTCTTGAGTCATAGGCATGAAAAATTTGGAGGAAAAAATTGTGTGCTGTTTCCCCATTTTTTAATGGTTACCATTGGCACATAATGCAATAAAGATTGCTAAAGTCAACAGGTTTTACTAATAGACCTACCAATCTCTGAGTAAAAGTAACATTATGATGCTGCCATCTTTCTGAAGTCATTTTTGCCCCCCTGTAATTTTAATTTAATTTAATATTTTTGCTTTCATCACTATTCATGTTTATCTTTCTTCAGAAAAAAAAAAAACATCAGCAAAATCCAAAATTTGAGCCAGGGACCTTTCTGAAATTTGGTTGATTTGACGCGGAATGACCCTACTGTTCAAATTGGGCTCAATAAGAGTTTGAAACAAGTCTCTCATGCTCAAATGCTGTATTTATTTGATCATAAATACAGAATAAAATGGTAATATTGTGAGATATTATTACAATTTAAAATAACTGTTTTCTATTTTGTAATCTATTAGATGTCATTTATCCCTGTGATTCAAGGCTGAATTTTCAGCATCATTACTCCAGTCTTCAAAGTCACATGATGCTTCAGAAATCATTCTAATATGCTGATTATTAGAAAAGCAGTTGTGCTAATTAATGCAGTTGTGCTAATTAATATTTTTGTGGAAATAGGTTATTATATACTTACTAGTTTTTTTCCCTGTTCTGTTAATTCTTTAATTAACAGAAAATTCAAAAGAACAGCATTTACTTGAAATAGTTTTTTTTGTAACATTATATAAACGTCTTTACTGTCACTTTTCATCAATTTAATGCATCATTGCCAAATAAAAATATAAATAAAAAAATAATATAATTTATTTTTTTTCATAAATAAAATTTATTTCACATTTCCTTCACACTGGAAATGAAAGGTCAAGCACATTGGGTTGTGGGATACAGTATCTCACTCAGCATGCTTGTTTTGGCAAATGCAGTCAGTATTCTGTGTTTCTGTGTAGATAGTAGATGGTGAATTTACATACTGCACAGACACGTTGTGCACACTACATACTGCTGACTTGAGCTCCAGTGTCAGGCCTGTCAGTAAACCTGCAGGTGGTTTAGCTCCTTCACCAGACTTTTTTCCCTGCAGACTCTACTCCATTACTTGCACAGATGAAACTTGGCACTGTGTTCCTCTGCCACGCTTAGAGGCTGTCATCACACTCGTTCCCATTCAGCAGCATGCTCTGATCCCACCACTGAGACATCTGACAGTGGGTGCCATGTCCTTGGGAAAAGAACTGGGTCAGCCAAGAGTCTGGGCTCTGTGCTAAACTGTACATGTCTATGTGTTTCACAGAATGCTGAGGTGACGCGTCAGATGACGGTGGCCCGTGCCGCCCAGGATGAAGTGGAGAATGTGAAAAAAGAGATGCAGGACAGAGTGAAAGCTGCTCAGGATACTGCCAGTCAGGAGGTTGGACACACACACACACACACTCCCTCCGCCTGATGTATCCGTAGTTTGCTTGTCTTACACGTCCCTATCCTCCTGTATGTGCACGAGTAGGAGAAGGCTCAGTTAGAGCAGCTTCAAGCTCTACAAGCCGAGCTCATGTCCAGCAGATCTGAGCTAGAGACCCTGAAGAGTACCGTCACCTCCTCCCAACAGGTGGGACCTCACCTTCTACACATCATTCTCTTCCTCTTCACCTCTGTCAGGAAACCATCTCCATTCCTTGTCCTAATACTTTATAAAGGGTCATGAACTGCATTCTTTTTTATTTTGTAATGTTCTCTTATAAAGGTCCACTTATAATGTTAGCAAGAATTGTACATCAAAAAACACTATACACCTTATTTTTCAACGCAGAAGTAAGCCTATGGGCGAGACTTCTGGTTCATTAGCCGCTGTAGGGAAATTATGAGAATAATAACAACGTGCAGTAAACGGTAAAACTGTTTGCACTACAAACCAGTGTGTTCATAATTAAGATAATACATTAAAATAATATGGTAAGACACCAATTTGCAATATCAAGCAGCAAAACGAGCGGTTTTGTACAGCTAAAATAGACTGGAAGCAAGACCCATAAAATTTACAAATGGCCGCGCCCATTTTTACAGGAAGAATAATGTGGATAATTTTAAATTAATAGGCTATTTTCTCTTAGAAACGCATGATAGGCAAGCCGCATTTAAAGGGGTCATATGATGCGATTTCAATTTTTCCTTTCTCTTTGGAGTATTACAAGCTCTTGGTGCATAAAGAAGATCTGTAAAGTTGCAAAGACTAAAGTCTCAAATCCAAAGAGATATTCTTTATAAAATGTAAGAGTCAGCCACACCTACCTAAAACGGCTCGTTCTAACATGCCTCCACATACCTACGTCACTATGTGGGAAGATTTGCATAACGCCGCCCAAATGTTCACGCAAAGAAAGAAGGCGTAACT